GATGATGATGATGATGATGATGATGATGATGATGATGATGATGATGATGATGATGATGATGATGATGATGATGATGATGATGATGAACTTATTTGAACCCGTGTTCATTTTGCCGTGTAGATAAGCCGATTAGTCTGTGACCTCGATTGTCCAGGTGTGGAGATCCTTCGTTGACCGGAGGGCTGTTCACTGCCCCGTCGGCATGCGCGTGACATATGTTTACCGCGCACGATGTACTACTACTGACGGAGTCCAGTTCAGGATCCGAAAATGTGTGAATGAAACTCCCCTCCAATCCATTCATTTGTGTACGCATTCACGTCACTCTCCTTCCATCCACTGGTGAGTTCACAGCAAAAAGAGGAAGAACTCGACCCCATTTTCGCTCTAATTAGATCCCTTGAACAGTGCATATCCCTGGCTGTGCAGAAAATTTCACCCCGAACTTCTGTCGTGCGAGACGAGGGCATTATCACTACATCGCCAAAGCACGCTGGAAGCAGCTGGGTTATGGCACGGTTGGAAGGGCATCAATTTTGGTAGTCTGACCTATCTGAAGATTGAGAACTACAGATTGGTTGTTAAAAGGCTGCCTTGCTAACTAAGAGTTTTTTCGTAGTAGGGGACTCCGTAGTGAGCGATTGATTCAGTGGTATAATCACGCTATTATTTGTCCTCAGTATATTCACCCGTACTAGATTAGTTAGCTCGCCTAGTTTCCTAATGATCGTGTAAAGTGTATGCTGCCTAGAACAAGTATGTGGTTAAGAAGCTTGCATGCAAGTAACAAATACACCAAGAAACTGTGCCTGTCATTCTCAGAGTATATGGAGTAAGGTGTTATCAAGCCATTCGAAAAATTGTTTATTTCACCACTAAATTTCACATACCGAGTTCCTGCGTCATAAAAGTCACGGTGGGCCCTGGAATTGAAGCGTCATCGTCTGGTCCAACTGCTCTCGCCCACGCCGTGTAGTTCATATACGGTTTGAGTTGGCCTATCGAAGCTAAAATAGCTTGATACTGAATGGACGGCTCCGTGGGACCTAACGCGTCACTGAGTTCGGCCAATCTGATACGATCGCCTTTATCCAGTGTGAAGTTTTTAGTCTCGGATGGAAGAACCAGCATATTCGGTCGTACCTATAACAATTAGAAGAGAATAAACGTGAAAAACTTCGCCACGCAACGAGATTCATTGTTGAATGCCCAAAATTAAGAGCGGTGCGACGAAGAAAGAGGACGAAGTTTGACGGCCTATGCCATCATATCCGCCAACTGATTAGAAATTGGATCAATACTTAGCCGCACATCCCAGAGTTGGTATGTCTGCGTAAAATTAGGGTATAATCAAACTAAACGATGATACTAATACCAAACAATGCTGAAAAAAGAAACTGTCGACGAGCAAAAACTTGTAATGCACGAGCTTTGAACAAGTTGTACCAATACTTTCATAAAGGAAACTACTCACAAGGTTGCTGAAAACTCGTCGACAGCTCACGACCGGTTTCGCCCTTCCACCTCGGGCTCATCAGGTAGGCGCAGTCCCAGAGTTTCCGTCAACCTTATGATCTACTTGAACCCAAACTGGACTGTTTTCGAGAAATACACTCATTTGCAAATCAATTTGCTTTTCACCGGAGACTCAACTGAATCTCTCTTGTACCAATACTGTTTGACGTGTCGTATTTTTTTGGCTTCATTGCCATAACATTTCCAAAGGTGATCGGAGTTTCCACCACAGTCCTTCCAGAGCTGCACACGTGACAGAGAATCTTTTACGGTATGAATGTTGGACAGAGTTCTGCGACCAAGTAGAAAAAAAACTCGATCACTTGTTGTGTGACGTCTCTCCTAAATCTTCCGTAACCTCTCATTCGCCTGGAGAAGAAAGCTTTGCAACAATTTGGATTGAATATGGAGATGATGATCTTGGATGAACTGACCAAAGTCATCCCGTCCTTTGGTATGCATTTTGCACCCACAAAGTGTAAGGTCATGCTTGTGGACGTGCAGTCACTGAACACGCCCCTTACAATCCAGGGAGAGGTACTGGAAGTTGTGGAGCGTTTCACGTACCTTGGAAGTTGTATTAGTTCTGATTGCAGTGTGACAGAGGAGGTGAATGCACGAATCTGCAAGGATCGGGCCGCGTTTGCTAACTTGAGACACCTATGGCGTCAAAATGGTTTATCCCTGAATCTGAAGGGACG